GAAAAATGACGACTTTTCCCTGAATTGTGCAGGTCTTGGCCACGAAACAGACGTTGGGCCGAGCTATGTGGAACAGGCTTTAGGTGTAACAGCCAACTTCGAAATGGAATGAAGTCTGAAGGTGTTTAGCTTAGCGTTTTCACTTTGAGGAGTGAGAGATATATTATGGTCTTTCTACCAAAATAGTTCTGAATTCTACAGCTGATTGAACCACCAAACTTGATTAAGCACCTCTGAATGTTCTGTAACACGGTATCCAACGCTGCTAGCCTCCTGGCCTACATACTTTTAGTACTACGTACACTGACGGATCACTGCTATGAGGCTTTGCTACCTGATGATAGCTGTAAACGATCTCGATCACGTGACCTTCCTCGTCGGTCACCCAATTTGTCCCTTGGATCATCAGTTTGCTGTTCGATTGCTCAGCCATTGCTGGCTTTTTATCACGAAAAAACCGTGGGAAGAAGGACGAGGGGTGCCATCGTCTAAGGAACGCCGCTATCTTTCCGACGGATTCCGCTTGGAGGAAATCCCACGTAGGAGTGAAGGCTTACTACAGATCATCAGAACCGAGGGGCCGAGGTGCCGACATACCAAAAGGTCTCAAGGTCCCCCAATTTGGCTACAATCAAATCACAATTGAAGCAAGAATAGTGGCGCTGAGCTTAGCCAGGCACTTAATTCAATGTCGCACTTCCCTCAGGTGCATGCAAGTCCAAACATTTGCCAACTCTTCTTATTAATGGGACTAACAGATCTAAGTTAAATGCACAATGCATCATCACAATAGGTGAAGGCCGTACGCTTCCGCTTCCGTACAATCTACAATCGGGCCGGCCCACGAGAAGCTTCCACTTTTGCTCACGGAGGACGGAGTGTGGGAGTGTATATTCGTTTGTAGGTTGTTTTTCTGCTATCAAACCCAGTTCATGCGCATGACCAGTCATCCCAGGATATCCTAATCCTTGTCTCTGAAGCAAAGTCGTTATCCAGCCACCAGCACAACGTAACCTTCCTGATAAGGCCTGATATCCTTCCCTAGGAACGCTGATCGACATTCAGGCTAGCCTCCTCCAAGCCACACCAAAATCCATGAGTACCAACTTGTCTCCACCATAGCTATCAACATGATCAAAATCCTTGGACCGATGTCACCTTGACTCCAGTCACAGCATCATGGACATGGGACTTGGCACAAGCGTTGACGAATGACAAGCATTGCTAAGCTGTATGTAACATGTACCTAGATCCCATGATTCTCTGCGAGTTGTCTGTAACAAACACACTGGTCACCGTGTATCACATGGAGCACCATCATGCGAGCAAGCAAACCACGTAGATAGTATGTTGTGCAGCCGATCATGGCAGCAAGTCGCACCTTGCCTGGCCTCCTACAAAGTCTTTGGCACCGTCCCTAAGTCCAAGGAAATCTGTTGCTTCCTCCAAACTGGTGTTCTCTCTCACGTGTAGATTGCAAGCGCAAGCCGATCCCAAGCTGCACTTTTAGACTCGGAGATCAGGTCTGGATACTGAGGTCCTCTCGCAGCCGTTGTTACTATGCAGCTCATACGCGCAACTGGGTGGGTGGCAGTTCTCGCTGCTGGTGTCACCGCTGTCAAAGGACCACAGGTCAGAAGCAAAAGAGGAGGGCCCTCGATTCAGGTGCTTCCTCGACAATTACCTGCTGAGCCAACAGGCGTGCAAAAAATCATTTCTCCCAGTGGCGCCAACATAACATACAAAGAGCCTGGCAAGGATGGCATCTGTGAAACAACTCCCGGTGTAAATTCTTACGCCGGTTTCATTAACCTCGCCGAAGACGTCCACGCATTCTTCTATTTCTTCGAATCTCGACGCGATCCTGCGAACGACCCCCTCACCTTATGGTTGAATGGTGGACCAGGAAGTGATTCCCTAATCGGCCTTTTCCAAGGTAAGAGACGCACCCCGAGTCACCGAGGCTTGTGATTGAGTTCAGTTTGATAGAACTGGGACCCTGCAATGTGACTGAAGAACTTGTCACCCAATTAAACCCTTGCGCCTGGAACGAAGTTTCCAACCTTCTTTTCTTGAGTCAACCTGTTGGGGTTGGCTTCAGCTACAGTTCAAAGGTACAAGCAAGCATATCATCCCAAGTTTGGCTCGGCCTAATCAGCTTTTCCCTTTCAGGAGCCAGGATCGCTTGACGAATTTTTCGGACAATTCGTGGAAGCCTCAGTAGCCAATGTGACGGGCCGTTATCCTGTCATTGACGCTACTGCCATTGGTCAGTGAATGCTCTGATGGTAGGGACAGTTGCTGGTGTCGACTAACTCGTGGCTAGATACGACTGACCTCGCAGCGATCGCTGCATGGGAGATCTTGCAAGGGTTTTACTCTGCTCTCCCTCAGCTCGACTCGAAAGTGCAATCCACCGAGTTCAATTTATGGACTGAAAGGTAAGAGTAAACGATCTTTGGTCTTCAGATCATCAACTCAATGACGATAGCTACGGCGGACATTACGGCCCTGCGTTTTTCAATTACTTCTACAAGCAGAATCAGCTCATCGCCGAGGGAACTGCCACGGGAAAGACATTCGATTTTGTCAATCTTGGAATCATCAATGGTATCATCGACGAATACATTCAGGTGCCATACTATCCCGAGTTTGCCGTCCACAACACATATGGGATCGAAGGGGTCAACGAAACAGTGTACAACCACATGAAGTTTGCATTGAACATGAATGGCGGTTGCTTGGATTATGTGGACTATTGCTCTATTGCTAACACCTCTACGCTTGCTGGAAAATCAGTATGTGCACAAGCAGGGAACATGTGTCGAGACAATGTCGAGGCTCTATATTACTATGAAGGCAATGGTCGCGGCGCGTACGACATTCGACATCCATACGATGACCCGACTCCTGCTGATTACTTTGTGGACTTTTTGAATCTGGCATCGACACAAGAGGCACTTGGAGTGGACACCAACTACACGGACTACACCAACGTCGACGTCTATTACGCATTCCAACAGACGGGGGATTTCGTCTACCCCAACTTCATCGAGGCCCTCGAAGAGATCCTTAATTCATCGGTGCGAGTGACCCTTGTCTACGGTGATGCCGACTACATTTGCAACTGGTTCGGTGGTGAAGCCGTGTCTCTGGCGGCTCAGTGGACATACACTGAAGAGTTCAATGCAGCCGGGTATACCCCGTTTTTGGTGGACGGTGTTGAGTACGGCGCGACCCGCGAGTACGGCAACCTATCATTTACCAGAATCTACGACGCCGGGCATGAGGTGCCGTACTACCAACCCATTGCCAGTCTCGCCTTCTTCGACCGAGCATTGAACAGGCTGGATATTGCCACGGGCAAAGTCGCAGTGGACGGATCCGACTACGGTACAGAAGGCGAGCCATTTGCAACTCACACTCAGCCATATGTCCCTCTTCCCGCTACAAGCTCCTCAACCGAGCCAGCAAGCACAGGCTCGGCCGCTGGCCGCGTGCCTTGGCGACCTAGGAGACCTGGGCCGCGCTAAAGCTGAACGAGAACGGCGCTGGTATGCGCTGGTATGCGCTGGTATAGGATAGATCGCTTAATAAGTACTTTAGTGGCGGCATTGTATAGGGTTGTAAACCATCATTTTGGCCTGTTACCTGTGCATATGAGTTGGTACCTAATGGAAGGAAAGGAGCAGACGTAATCAACAATGACGTCATTTATTTACAATTGCCCCAAATGAGACATGGTGTTGCAATCGTGATCGCTGGACTATTCAAACATGTACGTTCCAGTTATTACTTGAACGTCGGCATAGGTCATTCGGTAAGAAGATAGCATAATGCAATGCATTATGTTAATTCTATAATCATCCATTAAGTCAACGTCCTGTGGCCGTTGTCTCAATACTGGACTCATGTTCGCTCCCACCGCTGAATTAAAAAGTGTTCTCTTGCTAGATGTGGCTGTATAGGTATAGAAGGTTAAACCCCACAATATATTTCGTACGGGAATTGTAGCTGTGCCATCAGCCGAAATAGTGAGGAAATAGTGAGACATATCCGAACTCAACCAATTCTATCCATCTTCTTGCGTTGAGGGGAGCTCTTATGTCTCTCGCGGCGATAAACTGGTCAACTACAATTGTCTAGCCCAGATTGAGTGAAGGGTTTAAGAAGGGGATGGCCGCTGCCAGAAGGTGCACATATCCTATGAGGGGGGATTCATACTTGATTTGAGCTTAGGTAGTTTGTCGAGTGGTCAGACATGATGATAGTGGCCGATGTCAGGGAATACGCGTACTAGAGGCCGATTCTCCAGATAAGACCCTGTGCCAAGTCTCTAGTGCCAGTCTTGATTTTGATTCTACCGGTTTTATTCCTTTGGCAAGGGATGTCACTTGTTGGGATTCTGGGCTGCAACCGCGGGTCCGGGGCTTTCTATACAAGGTCTCCGTGACGGGGCCATGCCAGCATGCGTGTGATTCAACCAGGGTGATGCATCCCATTACATCCACACTCATATTACCTCTCACCATTTCCAATAGTACAAAGGAGCGGACAACGCCTCTACTTCACCAAATAGACACTTCGTTGTTTGGACTGTTGTAGGTGCCTAGGGACATCGATGTCGATCTATTCCAGGGTCCATGGACAAGACCGACAAGGCACACACGGACGGCATGTCAACTCGAATCTTCCATACTTGATGGTAATGCCATGTAACGCAAGGTGGCGTGTCCAATGATATTGTGGCTTGACCTGCCGGAATGTGGTATTAAAGGGACGGCGACTCAAGATCCGGGCCAATCACCTTCTTCTAAGGGCTCGCCGCCTCAATAAACCTCACAGCGGTGAAGGTGGACTAAAGGACTAAGTACCTAGGTACTTACTAAATGTCTCAGTTTTTCAACATTCCATGCAACCTTTGCAGTTCTCTCGTGACTTCTCATGTTGCTGGCATTTTCTTGTGTAACAGACGCGACCTAGAACAGGCTTATAATGGATGCAGGTTGACTAGAATACCATTCTAGCATCTTACCTGGAGTTTCAGAGGTAGGTAGAGCCTGCTTCCCAGTTGTGTTCTACTTTTGTTGCAAGTCTCACGGATGCAACCATGAATTCCCCCGCCTTGACCGACTTCCAAGACATCGATTCTCATCTCCACGTCGATCTGTGGAACAAGAACTCGACACCATCCACATGAGGAAGTCACGCATGTCCACCTTGTTATTCACCTCCTCGTGCTCCTGCACTTTTCCTGACCTCGTTTCTTCCTCTCCATTTTATCTTCTGTCCTGTTCACTGCAATCACTTCCCTTGTCACACTACTTCTTCGACTTTTGACCACCACCTACGCCTACACCCAACTCTGCATCTTCGTGGTCACTCAATTTGACCTGCCACCTCGTTGCGACTGCACATCCGCAACCAGAGGTCATTTGGAGGGAGGATCAGCCGTAAGAGACTAGGCATTACTTGAGAATGAGACTTACACAGCCTAAGACACCTCGCCATGTCAACGATCGCTTTCCCACCCTTCAACTCTCCCTTCTCGGTAAACACTCCTCTCTGAAACCCCCAGAACGCAATCCATGACCTGCTGACCTGGTTTCTATACAGCAATATGTCGACTCGCCGAACCCATCGCCATCACCTCCATTCTCCCTTACGCATGGCGGATGACCAAAGATTTCGGTTTACCTGATGCTTCTTTCTACGCCGGCATCCTCGTCGCCTCATTTTCCTTGTCCGAAGCCGCCTTCAGTATGCTCTGGGGTCACCTATCTGACCGAGTTGGGCGTAAACCTGTTCTCCTCTTCGGCTGTTTTGGTACCATTGTCTCTCTCATGATGGTAGGATTTTCCTCGAATTTCACCGTGGCTTTGGTAGGAAGAGTCCTGGGTGGTGCATTGAATGGCAATATCGGTAGGATAATATCATCATTATACCCGTGTTTGACGCGGCTGACACAATCTAGGAGTCATTCAAACCATGGTGGGTGAACTCGTCAAAGTCCCCTCCCACGAGCCCAAAGCTTATGCCATCATGCCCTTCGTATGGTCGGTCGGTACCATCCTTGGGCCTGCAATTGGGGGTCTGTTGGCTAGCCCTGCCAACAACTACCCGGCTGCTTTCTCTCCTCGTGGTCTCTTTGGCCAGTTTCCATACCTCCTCCCAAACCTCGTCTGCTCGGTTTTGATGCTCGTCTCTATCCTCGCCGGATACCTCTTTCTCCAAGAGACACATCCAGATTTCCAAGCCGGTGCTGATCCCAATGTGCACCATACCATTGCCGAGCAGACCCACATGATTCCCGCCGCCGGCACCAACGCAGACTCGGCCATTGATTTACGCCGAGACTCGTATGGTACCTTCAACGAAGTCAGCCTCCCCAGAATGGAGCAGTGGCAGGTCAGCCCCGATGGTTCCTCCAGACCCAATTCCATCTCAGAAAAGACGCAGCCCTGGTTGACTAGAAAAGTCGCCACTTTAACCATTGCCCTGGCTCTCTTCACGTTTCACTCTATGTGTTATGATCATCTGCTGCCTATATTCTTTCAAGATGAGTCAGTCAATCAAGTATCCGTCTTGGCAGCAAGTCCAGTTCACATTCCCGGTGGGTTGGGCCTGACCGTCCAGACGGTTGGGATCATCATGGCTGTTAATGGAGTCATTGCACTCTTTATGCAAGCAGTCGTCTTTCCCATTGCTGCTGAGTGGCTAGCCATCTGGCGTCTGTTCATCTGTGTCACCATTTTACACCCCGTGGCCTACTTTATTGTGCCTTACTTGGCTCTCCTGCCTGAGAACCTCGTCCTGCCCGGCGTCTACTTTTGCCTCACAGTTCGCAATCTGTTTGCAATTCTCGTCTTCCCGCTTCTTTTAATTCTACGCAAGCAAGCTAGTCCTTCGCCCTCTTCCCTTGGCCGCATCAATGGCCTGGCTGCTTCGGCTGGGGCAGCCTCGCGATCGGTAGCTCCTCCAGCAGCTGGATTACTCTATGGATGGGGCAGTAAGATCGGCTTTATGGGACTGGCTTATTGGGGTGCAGGGGCCGTGGCAGTGGTTGGAGCAATTCAATTGTGGTCAATCCCACGAGAGAAGCATGAATCCACCGTCATTAAGTCGGTCTTGCCATGCTTGGAATCTTCGCACCCAAACACACCGGCCGATACGGTTGATGTTGTGGTTGTTGAGACCGGCAATCGAGTGTAGACGTTTCTTCATGCAGTCGTGGTTAAAGTCGGCTTGGTCATGCGGGCATGCGGGCATGTATACACTTTGGAGTTGAGCGATGATTCACGAGAGTTACTATCAGGCTAGATCTGCGACACTACTAATGGCTTGGTGACGATGATTCTGATGGTGGAAATGACCCCGGCGTTCAGGGTCATACAGGGAAATTTGCTGGTTGTTTTAGGACTGCGAAAACATTACGTCAAGAAGCTAGAACGCTGAAATTCTGGGATTACATGGAGTAATGGCATTTGATTCATCTTGATTCATCTTGATTCATCTTGATTCATCTTGATTCATCTTGATTCATCTTGATATCACTCCCTCTCGTCCCTGTGAACTCACCCCACGTGACATATATCCACCAAAATCGCAGGATCCCCAACTCAAGAAAATCACGTGAGTGGCGTTGTCTAGCGCCTTCGAAGCGCCAGGGATAAATCCAGTTTCAACGTCGGTGTCTGCCAGATTCAGTCAAACCCAACCAGTTCCCATCCACGCCATCCATGCCATCACAGCTCACTAAGCGAAGTGCTGCTACGCCAAAAGGCCATGGCGATCCATTGGGCTTTGCGATCCAAATGCCAACCTGCATTGCAGCTTGCTTGTCTTCATGCCACATGGTCCCTCACATTGGTCGCTCTTCTGCCACATCCTGCGTCATTCTGCTTGCGCCCTCTCACCCTTGGGCTGCGTCGCAACCTCATGTCGATCTGGCCACGTCTTGACCTTTGTCTATCTTGGGCGAACAGTTGGTCGATGAGCATTCTCGCGGTGTCGTGCTTTTATTTTTAAATGGACCATGTTTGCCAACTTGCGCTACGCTTGTTGGATCCAGTCCCTGATTTATATTCCATCTCCAGGTTGGTCTCGGTCCTATTTGGAACTTGCTTTTTCTCCTGTAAGCCAACGTGATACCCAACCTGGCTTGTCATTTTCCCGCGCGCTGCAATATCAGCCATTTATAACCCCGCTATACCAACCGTGAATCGAGAACTTGGTCATCCAACCCAACATGTTTGGCAAAAGCAGTGATAATGGGGACCTCGAACGACCAACATCATCAGCAGCACATTCCAATAATGAAACCAATCACTCTCGTCGGCACAAACCGCTACCCGAGCCAGCGGCGACTGCATCATCGAGCCATAGCAAAGCCCCACCATCCGTCAAGCGCAAAGATACCTTCAAAAGCCTTGGGCGTTCAGACACCTTATCGTCCAAGCCTCCTTTAGTGCGCGTGCCATCTGTGCAAACACGATATATGGAAATGCTGTTGCATCTCGACTCGATCCCTCGTATCCATAATATCGCCGCCAGTCTATTCACTTGGATTATTCTTGCCGGCTTTCTTGTTGTTCCTGGCACGTTCAACACCTTCAAGGATTCGGATGAGTTCCAAAGCGCTTCCGAGAAGAGCGCAATCATCAATTCCATCTCCAACGTCCCTTTACTGTACGTCTCGGCCTCCTTCTGTGGATCCGGGGTTCTTGGCTGCCTTTGGTTGTGGTACCGATGGCGACACAACTATGTCTGGTTGATCAATCGTGTTTTCCTGTGAGCATTCGGCCCATCTTCATCTCTGCTGTATCAAATATTGACTTGGACCTTCTAGCCCTGTCACACTTAACTCAGTTGCGGGTCTCATCACCACAGTGGTCAATGTCTACACCGCCCAGAAGCACGTCTGGAGCATCACTGCCAAAATCACTGCTATTGTGATTGGCTCTTGTGTTGGTATCGGGGGTTTCTTGTTCCTGACCTACAACTTCTGGGCCCTGCGAAATGTGCGAAAGTCGCACGATTCGGCCTTGGGTCTTGACCAGGAGCATGAAGACGAGACGTTGGTGGAGAAAGTGAAAAGGAAAGCCCATGAACCACCTCTCCAGTCTGGAAGTGTGGTGTAAGGTAGTATTCACTTCTCGAAATGTAACAGATGATAGAGATGGGACGATATTTGGAAAGCCCGAATCGGCGCGATGACTCTGTAATGATATGAAGAACATAGTGGTGAGTGTATGATTACACCAGTTGGATAGTGGTCTGCGGATGAAGTCAAAAACAACAACCAGAAATCTATCCAAGATATTGTTTAATCAACATTGTTCATAACCCGGACTCATCCTTCATACCTCGTCGCCAGCAGCCAGTTCACCTCTCCTTCCTCCTCTCCTACGCCCTTGCCATTTGTCGTTAGGGTTTGCTTCTTTCCTTTTCAAAGATCGCACCTGCCTCTTGTCAGGCAATGACTTCCAACCCAGTCTCTCGCTTCCCAAGGACATTGTTTTCCCTGCCCAACTCTCATATTCTATTCTTTCCTCCCATCGACTTATTCATTCTCCTATCACCTAAGTATTCTTTCAATCTTGCATTCTTACTGTGACATCCTCGACTCATCCTATAACCCTAGCATGGCATCCTCAACAACCGCCGCCACCAGAAGAGCTGCCCGTCGGTCCCATCGAAGGTCTGCTCAAGGTCGACGCCGCACACAATCTATTGCTCCCCCAAAGACCTGCGAGCGACTCAACAGAAAGAAACACCTTCGTGATCCGGACTTTCAAGACCCCGACAACTGTTTCTTTCCCTATCCAGACCGTGGCTGCCACAATGACCCCAACGTACATGTGCTTCATCAAGCCCTTCAAAACGGTTTGCAATCCCCTCCTTAAATCCCTCACATCTTTAACATGAAAATAGATAACCCTTTCGATGCTCTTGCATCTGACAGCGCTGATACTTTCAGCGATCCCACTGGGCCCTCCTACGAATTCAACTTCTCCCAGACTGGGTCTGCGACTCCTTCTTCGCGTTACTTGAACCCGCCAAAGCCATCTATGTTAGACAAGTTGTCTTGTCAAAAGCCTCCCGTAAGCGATCAAGAGAATCCTCTGTTCCGACAAAGTAGAATACATCCGTCGCTCTCAGCATTTTCTGCTCCTTTAGTGACGGAGGCATCTTCCAGTACCATGCCAGTTTTCTCTCCCCAGTCCGAAGATTACTCAAGTCTCACGCAACCAATGGCTATGGAAGAAAGTCACGTAGCCAGTCCCTTGTTATACCACAAGAACCCTTTAGACGTGGTATTCCCGGATCTTACAAAGCCACGTCACGACCTGGTCTTTCCCGAATTTGAATGGGCCAGCTGCGACCACGACACAACAGACTTGAAGGCGAACAAGGATCTGATCATGCCCCAAGGTGCGGTGTCTTCCGCATCTCCCTCGCTCTCACGCAGGGCACTCCCAAGTCCTGTCACTCCACAACCTTTCCCAAGCGAGGCTGCAGACAGCGGTACTGCAGGATCTCAGACAGACAGTGATTACAGCGATGGGAATGTGTCTATCACTACATGCCTTGCTCCCATGGAAGCTGCCACAAACCCACGCCGATCGTCTTCGATTTCCACCATCGTCGTCCGCGCAGATACTAAGGCTTGGAACTACAACATCATATTGCCAACGTGGCCCCCGGCGGCTGTCTACTACGGAACCACAGGTATATCTTATGTGGGCGACAACATCATTATACCTTGGAACAGTGTCCTCAAAAACACCTCTCTTGGGTCAGAAAAATCTCACACTGTCTCGCTCCAGAGATCCACCTCGCTGCCATTAATTGATTACTTCTCAGCTATATCCCCACATGAAGCACCCCTCGACCGGAATGCACCGCTGTCACAGTCAAATCATGCAAAGTCTCCAACAAAGCATCATGTCAATGGTCAGCTCGAAAGTGGGGCTGTTGGCTGTGTGTCCGGTCATAGCATGATCTCAGACGAGCCTGACAAACACGTCCATGCATGCGGGGATCACCAGCCCTACGGGGGCCACGGAAAGCCTCCTTGCCCTGATCCCTCCAATGGGTGTGACAATCAGGAAGACATGAATACGCCCGCAGAGAGGCCGCATATAGCCAAAGTCCGATCACATCAAAGAGAGCTGTCTGAGAGAAACATCATCTTGCATGATGTACCGGCCTCCAAATCGGCGGATCCAAGATGCGACAAGACAAAGTCAGAGACTGATTTGTCGTCTTTGCGTCGGCAGTGCGAAGTCAAGGCTAATGTGGTAGCAATGGACAAAGACGAAGGTTTTTTGATAGCGAGTGATTTATCAGACGATGACGAGATCGTGACGCCAAGCGAGATTGACGGCGATGAGGTGAATTGGGATCACTGGGACTGGGAGGATGACATGGAAGGATTTGAACTGGCCAGCGTTCAATAATGGGAGGAGCGACAGGGGCAAGCAATATGACCTGAAGTGGCTACAGTGCAACTCAGGAGAAGTCGAAGGCAGTTGTTAACGAGCTTTTGAGGTCTGATAGCGTTCTTGACAAGTACATAACTGGCCACAGAAAGTGGTGTATGTTGCTCAGGGTTTCAAAGTCGGCCATCTGCCCATGACTTAGGTCTCTTAGGATCACTGCACTTTCTCCTTGTCCAAATCATCTGTGCTTGTGGCGTCACTGGTCTGCACTTTTTCTTTCTGCAGCCCAAGCTCAACCTGACCTCTCAACACCCTGATCAGAGTCATGGCCCGGTCTTTGGCGGCGTCGGTGTTCGGACCCATGTCGAAGACGACGTTGACTAAAGCCAAAGCGGCCACAAACAACCACACATCTCCACCTCTGATGCCCTTCCACCACCTCCGTTTGACACCTACTTTCCACAACGAGTCGACACTAGCACGCGCCGCATACATATCGGTGGCATGGCCCGACGAGGTCTGATCCACCAATTGAAACATGCCGCCCATGAGACCGCCGAGGAAGAAGCGGAATTTCGGGAGGAATGCGCGCGGCAAGATGGCCTGGAAGAGACAGATACTTCCCCATGATGCTCCAATTGCGCCCGTAGTGGCGATGCTGGATCGCAGTACCGACTCGACCAGCCGATTCAAGGCAGCAATGGGGGCGGCTTTCAAGGAGCGGAACCGCAATAAGACGGCGAAAACACCATAGTAGATAGTGTAGAAGCGTGCGATCCGAGGAAATGACAGGAGGTTGTGTCGTAGATATGCCAGGAAGCATGAAGGGTCGGATGGGTGAAGAAGAGAGCAGGACAGGTTCTGGATCGCTGGATGGGCACGTGCCGTGATAGGCGAGATGACTGGAGAGATGCTGGCAGGGAGAGTGGTGTATTTGTCTGGATGGAGAATCGGGGACGTAAACTGCGGCCATTTCAAAGTGGCCATTTGTGCCAGTGCATCGACAATGTCATTCCAGTGTGGCCACCTTACCCTGGCAGATAGGCTTTCCGGTCTTCTTTGTATATACTCGGGCGTGTTTCCAATGATGAAAGCCCCGTACGACTCTGGGAAGCAGTCCCGGTCGAACACAAATGCGTGTAGCAACTGACCCTGTGCAACGGCAAAGACTAGCCAGCTGCCGAACCAGGATGGCAGATTTTCCTTAACCCACGCTGTTTGAGAGATGGATTTATACCCGATTTCCAGAGACCATGACGCAATATAGATGGCGACGGTGATGCGAAGCTGATCAGCAGGACATATCCCCAGCGCCAGACCTGACAGACTTGCGCCGATGGCGGGCGCCAGTTTGGAAGTTAACACGGCGTAGATCCTTGGATACCGATCCTGTATGGCCCGGACCTTTTCATGTAACAGACGCAATCTCAGTGTGTGCAAGATGCGGTATAGCGTTGAATGGAGAAATAATAGTGACGACAGCGAAAGAGCCATGCGTCCCGGTGAAGCAACTAATGGTTGTCGAGATCGAGTCGCCGTAGGAGATTTGCGGGCATTGGCCAGGCGCGCGAGAACTAAGTCGATGGACTTCAATGAGCCATATGTGAGTAAGAATACACGCGACGCTGAACGGAAAGTTGCTGCATTGTGATGTTCTCGATCATTCTGTGTTTCCAAGGGAGATGAAGTTGTTGTTGTTGATGATGATGAATTGTTGTTGTTGTTTGTTGTTGGTGCTGGGACATAGCTTGACTGGGTCGAGGCTGGTTTGACAATTCGACGCAACAGTTGGAGTTCGCGTTCGTTGAGAACATAGCGAACAGGACTGTTCTTGACTGCCATGGTTCAGTTAATCTGAGAACCTCAATGATTTACGGAGACCAAGAGATTCACTGATGTGTGCAGAAACGGCTCGAGAAGAATCTCAACTCTGGTGGGAGATGTGAGCTGTCGGATACAATCGAAGCTTGAGACCTGATTCAGGACTTCATCTTCTGCTGGTTGAGATGGCGTCTGGGTGTTTTGTTGACGCAATCTCTTGGATTGAAGAAGTCAGCTTGCAAGAAGGTGATGTGGAAGATGGGAAGGAGGTCTACGGAGTAAGTAGGTCTACCTCGGCAGCACGTGAAGCCTGAAGCGAGAAGTGAGCTTACAGAGAAGGCGCATGTAAGACTACGGAGTAAGAAGGAGCAACTCACAAGCTTTGCGGGGAATCGACCAATTCCATATCTCTACTCCACCGTTGTCAATATCCCGCCTTTCTGTACTGTGGAACATTGTGCATTTCAAGCGTCGTGCAGGCTCAATGCTCACCTCAACATCATCCTTGATTGATCGATGGGATCGTCTATACAAATACACCGGCCACGACTCCCTCGTCAGGGCTGACGACCATAACATATTGTTCAGAGACGCTCCCATATCCCAGTCCCCCCAGCACCGAATATGCGATCCCCCAACCCTCTCTACAGGACCCTCACCGCCATCTCATTATTCCTCTCCCTATCCCTCTTCTTAACCACCACATCAGCCAAAAGCACCGCGACCTCATTCTGCAAATGCATCTGCTTCAACAACAGCACCATCATCGCACTCAATCCACCCTCCTCTACCCCTGCCCGACTATCTCACCCCACGCCCACTTCGTCGCATCGGTCGAGACGGAATTTAAACCCAGATCTAGACCTAGATTCACTCAATCTTCACATTCGTTCTCCTTTGGCATTCCCCGCCGATGATAATCAAGATAGCGACACCAAGAAAGTACCAGCCCACCATAAACTGTCATGCGCCGATTGCACGCGGGCGTTTTGTCTAGATTATAACCTACCGATTTGCAAGAATGCGGAGGAGGAGGATGTGTTTACTTCTTGTTTCCGTAAGTGATGTTACTGTTTGCTCCCTTGTCCCGATGGTGTACTGGATGTGTGGTGTATTTATATGAATTACTAACGACTGAATGCTTCATAATCAACAGAACGTGACTCTCTCAAAGATGAAACCGTTGTCGTCATCTTCATCTTTGGCACCGCCGGCCTCCTAGCCTGGGCATTGGTCAAGCCATGGATCGAGAGATTGAGGCTTGGAGACAATGGATCCGGTGCCTTTGATCCTCTGATAGGTGGCCGTGGAGCTGAATCAAGAGATCTTGGTAATCCTGCAGGAAACGGTACCAGGACAGAAGGAAGAGCATCGGCAAGAGGAAAGAATTCAACTATAACGACGTCTGCGGCAGGATATGGCCCAGCCGACAGAGACGGTTCATTTCGTGACGACGACGATGAAGATGACAACGACCCACAAGACCTAGGTAACGGGACTTTCGGCCCTGCGTCTAACAGTCGGTAATCGATCCCGACACGGTGATTCAATCCAGAATATATGGATAGATCGATATATGTAACAACATTTATATGCACTTGAATTGATATCAATCAAACTTGAAAATGAGGAAATGTCTGGTTAATGCTTGGCCCAGATCGAATCTGTTTCCTGTCTCTGTCACAGTAGCTGCCTTCTCGACAAAGGTAGGAACCTTTCGCGGCCGTGGGAACCCGCTTACCTTGACCCTTCTAGGTTGCTGGGAGCATGTCATCCCCGAAAATGCAGGTGGTCAAAGAAATAATGGCGAGGTATTACTGTAACAAAAATCATCATCTTGATGGCCACTTAGGTCACTAGCAAGACATCCGTGTCCACCCCTCCTACAGGATCAGTTTGGTGATTTTGTCTAATTGATTTTCTTTTCCTTCCGGGTATCTCGTTTTGAAGCTCGAATTAGTACAAAGTGGGTTCATTGTTCTCGTCAGTGGACGAACACGTTTGCCCGCGTGGACAAAATGCTCGCAGAAACCTCGCTTGCCACCCCCGTTCACCCTGTTGGCCGCTCAACTTTTGTCCTTGCTGCCCTTGGCTGATATGCTCAAGGTTGCCACACCTCGCCCCAAAACAAAACGCCGTATCCTATGTTCCGCAATGCTCGTCGAAATCATGTGCCGAAAGAGAAGTTATCTCACACGCAGCTAGGTCTTCAAACCAACTCATCCAGCTGCCACCTATACTCTCAATCTGCTCTTGTGCAGATCGCTCCCTAATGACATTACGTCTCTCGCTCATGTCACACGCTGTTTGCCTGCTTAAAAAAAGCTCCAGTAAGGAAATAAAGAATCTTGCACGCACGCAAGATGGGATGTTGACGCTGATAATGATGCCGGTGTTCATGTCAGCCAATGATCCGAAGGAAATATGTCGCTTTTGTTCATTGTGGTGGAGGCAATAAGAACCCGACTCGTTTCTCCGACAGGACACCATCCACAAACGACTCTTCGCGACCGACGATGTCCCACTTGGCAGAGGCTGCCATTCGATCTCGATTTGGTACGTTGGCCCCATTGAAAACCTTTTGACGCCGGGCCTCCCTCTCTGTTACCACCTCGGCCATGATTCTGGCTGCGGCTGTCACACTACGTGCCTGCAACAAATGGTTGAATCTACCGAGACTGTCAAAGTCAAGATTCAGAAGAATGGCTGATGCGACAGAATCTTGGAAGGCACTGGCAGCTGAGGCACTTTCCATGGTCGGAGAAGAATCGGAGGCGATGCTCGAGGAAGGCATGGAACCAAATACCATGGATGCCAAGACTGGGTTGGTGCGCGGACGTCCGTCTTCAGTATTGGGGAGCCGCGAGACAATTGTACTCGACGAATGCCCACAGTCGAGCTTGAAGTTGACAATATCAATGCGGTTGGCGAGGAGCTGCACAACCAATCGTACCAGGATGTCGCTCAAGTTGAGGTAGTCGGAGCCTGCCATGTATTTTCCATGTGATGAGACGTCGCTTCTCACCATGGCAATGGCAGACTTGTACACCGATTCCAACACATCCCAATCGAGGAAGTCTGTCAAAAGAGCCTCACTGTGAGCTGTGACCAAATCCAAGCCAAGTTCGACGCCGGCAATCCAGTAGGACAGGATGTAATCGAGATGGTATTGTCTAACAGCTTCGCGCTCCTGCGACGATGGCTGCTGGCTGAAGTAGTCCTTCGTGAGCAACGTATCCGAGTACAGAAAACGCAGCGCCGAATCAAAGGCATGGGGTTGAATGCGTTGTGGGGGATACAAATTAATGATGTTGTTTCCATATGACTGGGAACGTGCCATGAGTCTTCGTAAGCGATGGCTGCGGCCTAATATGACAGAGTGTCCGTAGACAGCAAAGGCATCGTTTCCTGTACCTGGCGCATATATCTGAATTGCCCAATCAGCGAGGTCCTTTGTCACAGCCAGATGTAGGAAGTAGTCGTTGATTGTCTGCCAATGTCCCAGTGATTCTGGAACCGATGGGGTTCGCGGTGGGGCTGACTCCCCGTTGTAAGAACGAGTATGGCCGTTCATACCCATAGCGAAAGAATTTGCAGGGTATTCATGATTTTGGACAGGTGTTCCAACAGGTGATACGTGCTCCGAGAGTGCCAGATGCGTAAATGTCTCGGTCGGAGGTGGTGGAGAGGCAGTGTCATCCTTTTGCGCCAGAGATGGTGCAGAAGGCGTGGGCGATGGCGACGACCGAGACAGGCCTCCCTCTATCGATGTTGGAAGTGGTGAATCAGGATTACTGCGTTGGCCAACATTGTTGGGGGTGGAGTGCTCAGTGTCAACTTTGGAGGTATTATTCCCCGCAGTACCAGTTGGAGGAGTAACTGATACGTCTTGACTAGATGAACCATCTTGAATTACATGAAATTTGTCCGCCTCTTCAATGTGATTGTGTAATGTTTGCAAGGAAGAATGACCTCCATCGGGTGCAAAATCTTGGGTGTCAGGGGTGGAAGCAGACGCGGGCGGACTTTCTGCTGGTGATGCTATACTAGGAGTTAGATGGTCGGTACAACACGGGATCGAGATTGTGTACGAGGGAGCTCACCTGTTGAGGCAGATACGTCCCTGTCATCCCCGAGGTTGGCCTGAAGAGCTTCTTGCTCGGCTGATTCACCCTCAACCAATGTCTCATGTGTTCCGTTCAATTCATCAGTTAGACCAGGTTGAGGATCTTCCGCGGCAGCTAATGTGGATCTAGACTGAAATACAACATCTTCTTTGACGGTGCTCGGGCCCTTTTGTTTTGCTTGAGCAACAAATAATCGAGAGAGGTCTGGGAGAGCAGGTTTGATGCGTGAGGACCGGGTAGCCATGTCAGCCTGCTGCTGATCAATGCGGAAGACGTTGGACGTTTCGGCTAATGGAGAAGGCGGAGGAAAAAGCTTCACCTCGGACCATCGAGACAGAGCACTCGAGCGACACCGAAGGACAGCAAAGGAATCTTAGAGGTTGTAGGAAAAGGGAGATAGAAAGAGATGATTCTGGGTCTCTGACCAGTTGTGTGCACAAAGCGCAGCGTTTTGTAGATGTTTGTGAAAGGACTTGTTCAATGAATGACGGGAGTTGCAGACCGAGAATCTTTCGGCGGGGCATTGACGAAAGTGAAGTTCACACTAGGCCGTGGTGACTAGGCGTCGTTTGACAAAGAAGCGTCTCTAGCCCACCGTAGCACCTCGGTGGCAGGCGTGGCAGGTCAGCCGATCAGTGCCTATCCGGAGTAATTACTAACATCATAAGAGCCGCAGGGACCCCCACGACCCCCAAGCGATGGACTTTCTGCCTTGGGGATTGGGGAATTGGAGTAGCTGCTCGACTAGGTACAGGTAGGTAAGGTGTCTACCACCTACTCCGTACATAGAGACCTCCTAGGTACAGTAGTATGAGTGAGTAGGTACACTTCTCCGCACGAGTCTTTAATCCTTTCGAAGTACTTAACAATCAGGTCAACCTTTCAAACTGGTTGTGCTGTGTAGTGTTGAAATGGCATGAACATGATGACTCTAACAAAACAGAATGCAGTCATAGAAGTCTTTATGAGGAGGGTGGAAAGGGCACATTTGGATGCCCGCGCTCCCTAATAGTGAGTTTTATAGTTTTAGGATTCTCTAACGGCTTAGCACAGCCGCTAACGATGGCTACTAAGCTTTTACATTCTATATATAAAGCGGCTAGTCTACTTATTACATTAGGAAAAATTAATTAACCTTTTAAGCCCACTATTACTATAGATAGTAGTAATAACCTCCGTTACTAGTATAGTTATAAGCGCCTATAACGGTTCGTTATCTACCGGTAGCCCTCGCTATAGGGTATATAGGTAGTTAGATTTATAATTACCCTCCTAGAGGTTTTATAGCACTCTTATTAATAACGACCCTTAACGATAGGTTATAACGCTCTACGAGCGTTAGCGGTACTTAAGAAGTATAGAGATATTTATCCCTAGGAAGATACCGGCTCCTAAGAGGAGATCTATAAAGAATCGCGAGGAGTTATAAAGGTTCGCTAATAACTAGGAGGAATAAAGTAAAGGGATTTTACGAGTAGGCTCCTAAATACTTTACTATAAGAAATCGTTTAGAGAGTAATATTCGCTATTTATTAATAAATTATATAGGATAGATAAATAGTTACTTACTATAATAAGATATAATATTTCTTATACTAAGAATATACTAAGTATATTATAAATATAGAGAATAACTTACTAAGGTTTATAAGAAACCTAAAAGATATAAAGCGATATTCCGGGGTACTAGGCTATAAAGATTTAAGACCTATCCTACCCCTATATAAAGAAAAATAATAAGCCTAAAAATTAAGAAAGAGGAGTAATATAGACTCCTCTACGTCCTAGGGCTTTACTCTTAATCTAGTAGTAATAACTAAGGAGACTTTAGTTATAGACCTTTATAAAGCTTTAAAGGTCTTTATAGTATAGTTAGATATAAATACTTCCGCTATTAATTAGATAGGATAGGTATTATAAGAGTCTTAATAATAACCGGTAACTATTACGAGAGCTAGTAATAGACTAAAAGTCCGTAAACCTTACTAGTATAATAGGGATTAGAGTAATAGTTAGCTTAATAACTATATATAGGATATTATAAACTAGATCGATTTCTATAATTATAGAGGCTATTAGAAGACCGAGAAGGAGAAAATCGATATAGTCGCTACCTATCTTATAGGGTGAATATACTAAATATATTAAATTAGTACTAATAATATATAGACCTTTATAGACTATATTAAATAGTTACGGACTACCTTTTAGGATCTAAATAAGTAATAATATCTTTATAAGTAATAGTAGATATATACCTAAAGGGATTACCTAGTTATAGAATATATATAAGAACTTATCTATCTTACGGCCTATATTATTCTAATAAAGCTATCTATAGAGATTAAAGAGTATTTCTACTTTAGACTAGATAACGAGATTTTAATAGGCCTAGTAGAGTACCCTAAATAGAATAACCTAGACCTAAACGACTATATTAAATATATAGATCGGTAATATTAAATTAAAGAAGCGAAACGCCGTATAAAAAGGCAATATATACTATAAAAGGTAAAAACCTAACTTTATATCCTTATAGATTTAAATTATAAGCGACCGAAAACTATAGGAATTCCTTATAAGGGAACGCCTAAATAGTAATAATAGTATAAGGATAATAAGGCTTACTTTACCTATAGACTAAAAGATTATTCCTTTTAAGAATACTCGTAGAAGTCTAAACCTCCTTAATAACCTTCGCTAGGGAATAAAATACGGAAATTTATTAATTACCGCCCTAGAGGGCTAGGGCGCCCCTTTAACCTAGGAAGGAGGAATTCTAAGAGAGATTTTAATAAAGAAAAGGAGGAAACTGAGTAAATTAATATAATTATAGAACCTTATAAGGAAATATAGATAGATAAGCTACTATAGAAGGATTTACTCTTTATACTAACTACTACTAATCCTAATAAGGTTTACCGATATATTACTACTCTTCCTAAAATAGGAAGAAGTAATATAGGCGATACTATATTAGTAGTAAGTCCGCTACTATATTAAATTTATAGAGTAGTTAAGTTTTATAACGAAAGGCGATCTATATCGATCCTTATTAACTTAGGAGTAACTAATAACTATATCGCTAAAATACTAGCTAATAAGCTTTTACTACCCTATATAGATAATAGCTACTAGATCTAAGTTACTAATAGATCCTATATAGAGAGCCGCTATAAGGCGTAAATTATTATTACTATCCGTAGATACTCGCTAACTATTAATATAAGAATCTTATAACTTCCTTAATTTAATATTATCCTTAGATATAAATAGCTCTACTCTATAAACCCCTATATTAATTAGATATAATATTCTATATAGGTTACCGATACTATAGGAAAAACCTATAAACTAATATAGGCTCCTATAGTAACTAATAAAGCTAGATACTAAGATATAGAGGAACCTCTATCCCCTTATAAGGCTATATAAACTATTATAAAGTAACGCGCTAAGGCTATCCTCTATTATATTTAAGAATACTATAATCTCTCTATAACTAATCCTACTATTACGCGATTACTTATAAACGTTCCTAAGATAATATAAATAATACTTTATAAATTTAGTCCTATCTTTAGGACTAAATTACCTACTTCGCTACTACTAGTAAGGGATTATAAATATAAAATAGATACTAGTAACGCGAGGCTAATAAATATTAACGCTTACCCTCTATCTCCTACGTATATTACTAAATAAAGTCGATAAATCTCGTAAATACTTAATTAAGGGATTATTTAGGAATCCTCTTCTCCGTAGAGATTTCCGGTACTTTTTATTAGAAAACTAGAAGGAAAATAGCGGATATATATTAATTATAGGACGTTAAACGCTATTATAATAAAAAATAGATATCCGCTACTATATATCTAGAAATACCTAGATCTTATAGGAAGAGCCTTCTTCCTTTCTAAGATTAATCTTATATAGAGATACTATTAAATTTAAGTCTATCTAAATAGTCGCGATAAAACCGCGTTTAATATAAGAGAAGGAAAGTTTAAATATTATATAATACCTTTCGGCCTTTATAATATACCCGTAACGTTTTAAGCTTTTATAAACTAAATCTTTTATAACTATATCGCTAAATTTATTATTATCTATCTAGATAATATCCTTATTTACTTAAATACCTTTAGTAATTACCTATAGTATATTAAGACTATTCTTAGCCTCCTATAAGAAAATAACCTCTTTACTAACCTAGCTAAATATTAGTTTAGGGCCTCTAAGCTTAATTTCTATAGATATCGGATTAGTAACGGTAAAATATAACCGCTTATAGTAAAAGTTAAGATTATCTAAAACTAGCCTATCCCTTAAAACGTCTGAGAAGTTTAATAGTTCCTAGGCCTAGCTATCTACTATTATAGGTATATATAAGGATTTATAAATATCTATATTCCTCTCTTTAATCTCCTAAAAGAGATAGATCTAGAGTTATAATAATATAAATTTTAGCCTATAAAATAGACTTATACCTATACTAACGTATTTAACGAAATTAAGCGAATATTAATAGAAAAACCTATCCTATTATAGCTAGACCTCTAGAAGTAATTTACTATCGAAATAGATACTAGTAAATAGGCTATTAGCTATATACTATTATAAAAAGACGAGAACGGCTATTTATACCTAGTAGCTTTTAAGGGAAGAAAGCTAACGCCTACGGAAATTAACTACCTTACTTATAAAAAGGAATTACTAGGGATTTAATATACTTTACGAACCTAGGCGGTCTATATTAATAATAAATAACTAATTATAATCTTTACTAACTATAAAAGTCTTAAGTACTTTAAGACTATAAAAACCCCTACTAAAAGGCTAGCTAGATAGATAGTAGACTTTAGTAAGTATAATTTAGATATTTACTATTATAAAGGCTTATAGATAGTTATTACGGATACCCTATCCTATAGACTAGACCTTATAGGAGAAGGACTATAAAATCTCGCGGCTCCTATTAACTATCTATATATAATTACTAATAATAGCTAGGCTAAGTTAATAATCGAAAAACTCCGTAATTATATAGAGATACCTAAGGCTATAAAAGAACTCTTCCTAGAGGAAGAAGGAATCTTATACTAGGTCGAAGAGGGCGTTAAAAGCCCGTATACCCCTATTAACGTTTAAAATAATTTCCTAGACTACCTATACTGCGACTATAGCTATTTAGGCTACCCGGGGTTACTAAGAATAATAAACGGTCGCGGATAGTAGCCTAATTTAGTAGAGGATATTAAGGTATATATAAAGTACTACCCGGAATACTAAATATCTTAGTATAGCTAACCTATATAGGAACGTAAATAAGCGTAATTATTAATAACGCTAAATATATAAATATTTAAATAATAGGCTATTAACCTTATCGGGATACTACCGCTAATACCTAATAAAAACTATTAGATTATTAAGGTAATTAAATATCTAACCGGATAGCCTATTACTAAGGCTCTCCCTAATATACGGGCCTCTATAGTTACTAGCTTTATTTATT